AACTTTCTGCACAGTTTTTGCATAAAAATAGAGTCGAATTCCCGTTGGATAGAAAATGTGCTTTATATTTGACTTTATATTCTGTATTTTGATTGGATGCAAAGATGACTCAAGAATAAGGACAATACCATTTGCTACAAGGCGACCAACCTTTAAAGAAGTCCAACGAGTCCACCAGGAGCTAGCAAAAATGGAAATCATTGGTAGGTTTACTTTTTGTTTTACACATATTTCGTTGTAGGATATTTTTGTCATTTTGAAGAGAATAATTGATCGATGGACCAAATCCACTTGGACGTAATATTTTTCCCATTTCAGACCACGTGTCACTCTCTTGAGACCAAGAYTTTTTGTTTGGTTTGTATCCATATTCATACGTCTATTTATTCTCTCAACCGTTAAACAAAGAAATGATACTCTACGGAACGACACTTGGTTTGAAATGGGAAAACAGTGGATTAGTTCTATAGAGCACTGAATCTACAATACTGCAAATGACGTTGTCTGCCAGGAGTGACTGACTCATAAATTGAAAAATCGTGCAACCTGGAAACTCTGTAAAGGTTCAGGKGTCTGAATTAGTAATTATTCCACTGAAAGAGCCCAAAGTTGCCCCTAGGATGTGTTATGTAATTTTTGAAAAACATTTCGAGGTGACAATAAACTCGAGAGGGGAATGGGATTCAAARCGTTTGCCTACTGTAGGTCTAGGGGGAGGGCGGGGCAACCCACATGGTAACAGCAGATCTAAGGATTGTATCGTTGAAGGCTTCCTGATAATTACTTTAAGGACACGAGAGTGAAGTTCTAAATGGCGTGTTAAGTCAGCTGTCGTCAAGTCCAAAGAAGAGCCAAACGAAGACTCCGGYTACAGACCCTCAAATAGATGACAGTATAGCTCACAAGATTACAGATGAGAATGAACTTGATTGTCAGGAAAATGACAGCATCATTGCTGATGGTCCAAGYGAGCCTGTACAAGATGCCATCAGAAACAAGAAAAACAAGAAAAAGAAAAGCAATTCTAGGATAGCTGATGGTAATGGTAAGGAGAAGATGTCGAAAATAACTGGAGGTCCGGATAGAGATGTTGGTGAGTTCCATTAATGATAAATATTTTTATGTCAATCATAGAAATTGAACATAGATGTCAATCATAGCTTATGGACCGTTCATTTTTTT